TCCCCCCCCCCCCCCCCCCCCCCGTGAAGTTCAGTCCTCCTCCGAGCCTGCGGCCCCCCTCAGTCCGTTCATACAGAAAGACAGGCCGGAGGAGAAGGGGCTGTCAGACGGGGAGAAACCACTGAAGGGTGGCAGGCCGGCGAGCCGCTGCAGGTGGGGGAAGAAGGTCGGCGGGGGTCCCTTGTGATGGTCTGCGCGTAGCTGCAGGCCATCACCGTGGCCTGTGCTGTGGTGGTGGGAGGGGGGCAGCTCCGGCGGAGCGTACCGGATAGTGCTTGGGGCGTACAGGCTCTGAGGGCCCTGCGGGCCGAGGGCAAGGGGGTGGAAGAGGACCCGCCCCGCCGCACCACCTGCCAGTCTCTGAAGCAGCTCGAAGTCGGGGCCGTTACCACCGCTGCGACTCAACGCCCGGTCCTCGCGGGACTGCGGGGAGGACACTGACATGGCCGGGGACAAAGCAGGGGACGGGGGCGTGAACAAGCCTTTAGCTGGGGCTTCACTGCTGGACGAAGAGTCCGGGATGGGGGTGGTGGGACTGTCACCGTTCAGGCTGCCGGAAGGTGTGTGCGCATGTGATGGAGGTTGGGGCTGAGATGTGTGTGTGTGTTGGGTGGAGGTCTGTGTGTGTGACCCCCAGCGCCCTCCAGTGGTCAGGGCCTCGTGTTCAGTCTTGATGCTGGGACTGCCGGGCAACGAAGACTGTGTCACCACACTCTTCAGCTGCTGGATTACCGCCCGGCCATTGTGCACCCTCCCCGCTCTTTCCCCTCTCGTCGGAGTGGCATCTCCTCCTCGGCTCTGTTTCCCTCCTTCCCCACCATCTTCTTGCTTCAGTCTGTCGCTGTCCCCCCCCTGGTCCCACTCCGTCTCTTCCTCCTCGTCCTCGCTATCGCTCGCCAGATCCGAGGACGCCGAAACGGCCTCCTCTGCGCGCCGGAGCTCCTCCAATCGGCGCCGGCTTTCAGGAGGTCCGCCCTCGGGGTCAGCCCTCAGCACGCGCTTCCTCCTGTCCTCTGATTGGACAGCAAGGCTGGTGAATTTCTCTCTTCTTTTCGTGTCGGGGTCACTCTTCCCTACTGAGCTCTTCACCGACTGTTGGCCTGAGGAGGACAGGAGGTTTTACTAGAAAGAAGCAGCTTGTGCAGATGTTTGTCAGCAAACCTTGTACGTGCATTACCTCGAACTTGGGTGGAGTCAGTGGGGGTCGAGTTAACTCGAAGTCGCTCCGCTCTTGTGCTTTCTGGGAGCTGCTGCAGATCCAGAGGGGTGTCGGGCAGCTCGGTTCGACTGGATGGATAGAAGAGAATATCGGACAAAAAGGGGGGTGGGAATAAAAGCACAAATGATCATCAACCACTTAAAGCCACTTATATAGAATAAAACAGCAGTGCTGTGCTGTTTGAGTGAATACTTAGAGATACAAACAACATATAATCAGCCTAATAACAACCTCCAAAAAATACTCCCTTCTAACCTCCGCCTAACACACACCCCAGCATTCAAATTAAAACACACACACACACCATATCCCACTTAGCAGCCCACCTATACAAAGTTAATCTCAGACAAGGAGGAGGCTGTTCAAGAAGTTAATGAGTTCTTGTAATTACAGCACTAATTAACTAAAACACCATTCAGACCTAAAATTCTGACATCCATTTGTACTAATTATATAGCTTCAGTCTAATTAGCATTGAAATTCTCCTCTTTATGTTGTCTGACTGCTCCATATTTGAGTATTTAGATTTATTGTGCAAAGATGTGTGTGCACGTATAAAATATAACCATGAATAATATTAAATTTAAAGGCTAATTTATATTTAAACCATAGTGAAGAAATGTCGCATTTCAGCCTAAAAGCCTTTCAATAAGATCATATCCACTAATTTAGGAGCAACAAGACTGAATAACAATGAGATATTGTTCCTTTGTTGCATGCTAATGTTGATAAATATTTTACAAAATATTTTATAGCACGATTAAAAAATAACCTAATCAATATTTCTAGACCAAAAGTGTCAAACTTGGTAACAAAAGGGGGACAATAACAAATTTGGTTCAAACCAAGGGACACTTTCAAGAAGTACATTAACTCCAGTCTGACACCTGACATCTTTTCATGGTTGCAAGTTCATTTGACGTTCTCTGTTGCTCTTTCCACTAGGCCTGTCACGATAACAAATTTTGCTGGGCGATTAATTGTCTAAGACATTATTGCGATAAACGATAATATAGTTTGAAATTTGACAGTAATTAGTAATTATTGTCAAATTTAAGAAGAAATGTTGGTTTATTTTTGTTTGTAATACCTTGTTTTGACCACTGGATGGCAGTATGAGACTGCTTGAACCGAAGGATGGCTAGTGAGGGAGTGAGCAGTGTGTCTCAAAAAAAAAAAAGGGAGGGAGGCCCCTCGACGTGTCATGGGCTGTCTCTCGTTCCTGTTTTTCAGTTCTCAAAATGGTGGACGCTCGGTGTGGTTTGAGCTCTTTAGTATAGTATTGGTCTCACAAAGCTTTTAATAAAAAAATCAGTAAACAAGTTCTCAGCTGCTTTTTGCAGAGAAAAACAAATTTTTACACAAAGGCACGTGTTTCAACTGTGAATTTTGGAGCTTGGACAAGACAGAGTTTTTTTCCCAAGGTCGGCCTGTTAGCTTAGCTCGTAGCTTAGCTTCTCAGCTTAGCTGCTTAACGATCCAAAAACGCGACTTTGGACGATTAAAACAGATTTTAAAGAGAAAAGAGAAAGGGAGGGGTCATAGAAGAGCACCAGAGTTGAGCCTTTTGTCATCCAGTGTCCAGTAGAAAGAGAGAGACATGAAGAAACAATAAAGCCGATAAATGAAAATGAGGTTGATAATTTTCATTTATCATGTGATTAATTGATTTATTGTTTATTGCTACAGTTCTATTTTCCACATCAAAATCAAAAATTACAGAAACAAATTTTTTTTTTTTTTTAGCTTCAAACTTGACCAGCTATAATGAGAAGGCAACACTAAATACACTATGCTAGGTTTTTAAGTAAAATGAGAGGTGACAACACATTTATAACATCATAAGGGCCAGACAATGTTCCCAAGGCCCAGATTTGGCCCTTGGGTCTTGAGTTTGACAAATGTGCTGTAGACCATACGAGCAGAAACACGAGAACATTTGAAGAATGTAAAACCTGCCAGGAAAAAAAACGAACATGGGATTTGCACCAGACTAATGTCTGATTTTTCAGTTAAATTTTGTTAGACTCATAAATCCCTAACCAGGTTAATCATTGTAAGAAAAAAAAGAAAAATCACTGTAATGCCACTTTAATTGGTGATATGTGACTTATCTGTGCTGCTGATTATACATGCTGCTGATCTTATGCTGCTGTATTCATTCATACCCATCTGCTCACCATAGCCTCATGTTCAGGCTGCTGTTGTTACGTCGTATTGTTTTACATTATAAGTGTTTAGCGTATACAGTATGTTAGATCTTTTAGAGTACCGTTTGGTGTTTGTTTAGCGTAGATCTTAAATCCTTATTTACTATTCTTTTTATACTTTAAATTTTGCTATTTTGGGGAGTAACTGGGACCCTGTGCAGATAATTTCGTTCCACCTCATGTACCACGTGTTGGAAACGACAATAAAGTTGACTTGAACTTGAAATATTTACTTCTGTTATAAACTTACTTTAAATGCACATAGCATGACTTAGGTTTAAAGTATTAACAGTTAAAGGTGCTTTGATGTTTGAGCGTTTTGAGTAACTTTCTTCACGAACATTTAAAGGAACGAAAATCCCAATAATCCCAACTGGATTTCATCATTCATCCTCTTTAGGCACGAGCTGGTTGGAGATTCTGCCAGTATGATCACTCTGATCAAAAACACCATGGTTTTGTAGTATTAAAACAAAAACATTAATTTGTTATTTTTAAATCTAACCAAAACAAACACAAATGCAACTACTCTTGCTACTGCTGCTTGAATCAAATAAACTACAACACAGGTTATATTATGGCTCCACTATCATGAAGAAGTGCTGAGGCTGCTGAACGTTATCAAAGCGTCTTGTCAGTCCGTTGAGATTATTCCAAGTCCAGCAGGAGTTCGGTAAACTTACTGATGAGAAGGAATGGGCAGTGATTTTTTAAAAATTGGTAAGTAGTATGTCAAATTATTTCCAGTCATGCTTTTTCTGGCAGAACACCGACAGCCTTCCCCGCTCCCAAAAAAGAAAACAAAGAAAGCTCAAGTGTTACCACAGTCTCACCTCCATTACATTTTATTTTGAAATGATTATAAAATAGAAACAGTGGTCTTGGCTGAGCTCAGCTTTACTGACGGACTGCATGCACTCTCCTCCATACTGACCCACTGAACTAGTAAAAACAAAGCTCTCTTGCTAGCAGGACTAGCGGCAGTAGGACACACCTCTGCTTTATGAAGGCCTGGTTATACTTCACAAGACAATGATTTGACATTTTACGGGCCGAGATGGGGTAGAGGCAGGACAGCTGACTCGAGACCCGAAAGTCCCAGGCTCAATCCCCAGTCATTGCATATCTCATGGTGTCCCTGAGCAGGACACCCTATCCCCAATTGCTCCCCCGGCGCTTTCAATAGCTGCCCACTGCTCCACCTGGGGGTGGATGGGTTAAATGCAGAGAGCCAGTTTTGCCATTGTATGGGAAAATACAATGATGACAACACATAACACATTATTTTTCGCATGGTCTATGCATAGTCAAAGAAAAACCTTGGGGGAGAAGTCCTGATAAGTCGTCCCACTGCACTACATGTCACATACAATCAGAATGAACATAGACAGTGCGGTTGGCTGAGTGGATGTTTATCTTTAGTTGATGATGGAGTAGATGGAGGAGGAAGATCTGGTTATTTGTGTTCTTAACCGAGGAAAAATATTTTGTACATTTGTCACAAAAAGACCGCCACCGTTTCGATAGGCAGTGAAGGAGCATGCCTCAACGTTGCCTGACCGAGGTGCACTCCTTCCCGGTCAAAATCCAACATGACTACTCGGGAAGTGCATTCTCTCTCGGTCAGCACAGACACAGAGAGCCTCCGGTGTCTCCGCCGTGCACAGAAACGGTCCAATCTCCTTCCAAGAGTTCTTTGACTATCTTTGAGTTTTGTTTGACTTTCTTTACCATTTTTTGCTGGAACTGTTGTAAAAACATCTATTTTCTTACACCCTCGGCCAGCGGCTCATCAGCAGATGCTGCTCCACTTTTCATAAACAAACACGTCTATGAAGTTCTGACCAACCACACAGAGATACCCAGAGAGAACTAGTTCTGACTGGGGGTGATGCACAAGACAGGGTTTCAGCTGTGTGAGTAGAAAAATATGCACTTTTTGTCACACACAAACATCAGCAAGACACAAATTCAGCACTTCACCCAGATATTAATCTTGGGGGAGTACAAGGATTTTTAAGCAAGAGTTGTATCATATGTCTTAAAGGACTCTTGAAAAGAGGCCCCAGTCTCTGTTATCCATTAGCCCGACTTGTGTACGGGGGACATCTTCCTCTTACTTCTTTTTTCTATGACATATCAAAAATATGTATAAGGATTTCTGTACACTGGCAGTATGTTGCCTGTACAATCATCAACTGGGCTCAAGTTAACGCTCTTTGGGAACTTACCTCAGAACGTAGTTAACCCAGATGACGTTTCGTTCATGAGGAGCTTTGTGGTTGATGGAGACCGTGGCAGTGGACTGGATCCACAGGTAGCCTCCTCTCCTCTGAAGCCAACGATAATAACCTGTGACCACCTGACCTTTCCTCAGCACTAACAGGGAGAAACAGAAAAATTAGGCTGCTATTAATCTGGCAGTTCATAACTGTGGCAGAAGAGGGCGCCTATCACAACAGGACAATGTAAGGCTTCATCACACCCTCCAAGCCTCCCAAATTAAGATACTGTAAAAATCAAGGGAGAACAGGGATGATTTAGGTCAACTGCGTGTGCATTTAGATGTGACTCACAGTCTTCATGGCTCTGTCGGATATTTTCCAGGTCTTCCACATAGATGAAATGATAACAGGTGTGTCCCACCACCTCTGCTGGGGTCAGATCCATATACTCTGAGATCCTGTGGAGCAATGCAGGAGAAAAAAAAAAAAAAAAACCTCATTTGTCATCTAAACAGAAGCAGATGATTTTCTAAAGCCACCAGCTGGCCGGGTGCTCTGCCAGCCGCTCATGAAAAAACATGAATGTGAAACCACTCCAAAAAAACAAAACACTAATTTACATGTTTTCTGTTTTCAAAAACTGTGTTGCGACACTTATTATCCACACATAAAAATCCTTACCTGTTCTCACAGTATGTGACCTGTAGGTCCATGTTGACTCTGAAGACAAACATGTGGCTCTCCATACGTACTTCATTAAGCGTGGAGGGCGGGAGCGTGTGCGCCAGAACAACCAAGCCCATCGGACGTCGAACCGAGCGCGTGGAACCCGGAACAAGTGCAGGGCGGCAGCGGATTCGCCCCGTCACATGGATTACCTGATGAGGACAATAGATTTCTTAAAATGCAGAATCAGTTTAAAAAAGCGATGCATCCAAACAAAGAGGGAAACGGCAAGAAAATCTGACATCTGTCAATGAATATTGAACACTAACAAAAACTATGGATTCAGTGTTTCTGGTATTCCAGCAGAGAGAGCACTAAACTGTGTTAGGTGAGGCGGTTCAGTGTGAAATAAGGTCAGAGCCATAAAACATACAGAAAACGACCAACATGACGCTGCTATAAAACGCCAGCAGGAAACAACACCACCACGAGACTCTGCTTGTTACTTTGTCATCCTGGTTTCTGGTAAACTAAAGTCTAAAGGAGACCAAAGTTCAAGATATACTGTGCAAAAATTTTAACCCAACTCTAATTGTGTGAACGTTTATCAAGCATTCACACTATTGTGATCCTTTTTTCTTCCATACATTTTTCAGCATCTTTCTCATTCCACAATTTTTGTGCAAGTTCAACAAATCCTGTATCAAAACGTTCAGCTCTTTTAGGAGAAAGGTGCTATGACTTTTGGTATTGGTGCAACTTTAGCTTTTTGAAATATTTAGTCTTTTCTGACACTTTTTTTTTTCTCATAAGAAATGAACTGAGTAGGGATGCACGATATTGGACTTTTGGCCTATGTCCGATATGTTAAAACTTATTTAGCCGATAACCAATACCAATACCGATTTTTTTTCCCTAGACCTACTTACAGAGACTACACAGCTTTCTCTGCTGTGGAATTAAAATACTACATTATTCTGCATGGTCTTTGTTAATTTGGCTTGTTACCAAATACAGATGCCAAAAAGGGGGCTGAAAATGATGTAACACTTCAACTTGTTTATGTTTAATGTCAAATTTATTCATGACCTTTACTCTCTCTAACACAATGACAACACTCCAACAGTGCAAATTTGTAAATTTTCACAAATCTAAACTCAACAGCGTGCGTGCTATTATAACATTGGGCTGGCACTGCGGGCATCCTTGTCACTGGGTTGTCACACAAAAACAGTGCCTTATATATCGGTGTTATTTTGATGGAATGGCCGATGTCCGATATTTAACTTTATCACTAATATTGGCTGATACCGATACCATGCCGATAATATTGTGCATCCATAGAACTGAGCTAATTTACATCCTTCAGATCTGTTTACAACCTTTTACTGCTCCTTTCACATTTTGTTCTGGTTCAGCTTCTTTCAGCTTTCTTGTGCAAATTTATACTTTTTTCAGCTACTTTCAGCTATTTTAAGCTGTTTCATGCTTCTTTCAGTCTTTCTGCTGACTACAACATTTTTGCGCTTCTTCTAACTTCTTTTTGCACCTTTCAGTTTATTTCTGCAAGTTTCAGCCGTTTTTGCCTTTTCAGCTAATATTTAGCTGTTTTAATGCTAATGTTAGCTTTTTCAGATAGTTCCACATATTTTGAACTCATTTGAACTTTTTTCAGCATAATTCAGCAAAAATGTACTCAATCTACTTCCTTCTGGTAGTTTAAGTTTCTTTCTGTTTGTTAGCTACTTTTCAGCTGTTTTTTTTTTGTGTGTGTACAAATTTCAGCTTTGTTCAGATAATTTCCACTTTTTTGTGCTAATGTCTTCTTCTTTTTAATTTTGTTTGTGAGGGATTGCAAAGTTGTCCATTATGTAAAGGCACAAAACTTGAGTTTAGAAGCATTTTTTCCCTCTGACTCTTTTGTCTTTATAAATCACAGGTAAGAGTCTGTAGTGGTTTAACAAAGAATCATTTATTGAACTTAAAATTTCTTAAAAAGCAGCCAAAGACTGAAAAAGAAACTTTGGAAAACCCCACAACCCCAGAAAGTATTTCTGCCTACGAGTTTGCTTGAATGCAAAATATACAAAAAATAAATAAATAAGTAAAAAAAAAAAAGGCATGATTCAAGACTTTTGCACAGTACTGTATTAAATAATTATACCCCACCACCTCAACTACCTTATATCCAGAGGACTTGACATGTAGGCCTCTTTTAGTGAGTGTGGACTTCATGCGGATGAAGAAACCACGTTCTGGAGGATCGTCAGCTGGAGAATGGGGACTTGAGGGACCTGATGTGGAGGACAAAAATACATCAATTACAACAGATTAGAACATTTTATTTTGTTGGGATGTTCACCTAGTTCAGGGGTCTGCAACCTTTTAGGTTAAAAGAGCCGTTTTTGCCTCTTGCTAAATGAAATGTGACCGGAGCTGCAGAACCAGCTACACCTGTGATTACCAACAGGTGGCTCATGGACCACTTAACGTTTGTTAGCCAAGAAGTTTTCCAGCCAAAAATAAATGATGATTTATAACATTTAATGATGTTTTTACATTTTAACACACAAAAAAAGACCATATTCATGTGAAGAAGGAAAAGAAAATTTACTTTATATCAATTATGATAAGAATAAAAACACTGAACTCTGTAGACCTATGTACGTCCTATTATTGGTGAAAAATTAAGTATATCACTTTGAAATAAAATGGCATAATTCAAAGTGTGCAAAGTGATTAAATTTCATGTTAAGTTTTGGTCAAAGCTTCAAAGAGCCGCAGCAGTGGGACCAAAGAACCACATGTGGCCCCAGAGCCGCAAGTTGCAGACCCCTGACTAATTATATTAGTAACTGCTTATTACAAGAAATAAAAGTACCAGATTCAGGGGTACCGGCAAGCGAGGAAGTGGATGCGGTACTTGAAGCACTGTCGGGGGCCGTATGGCAGCCGGCCTCGGCCCGCAGATGAGGTTTGATGCCCAGCCGCTCAGCCATCTCAACATGGTCCGCAGGGTGGATGTAGTCAAACACGCTGCTGCCAGTCAGCTCCACCTGAAGAGGAGCACACACACCAGTCAAAACTCGGTACAAATAACACAGCACACGCACAGGAAAAAAAATCAATATATGTTATGACAGGAAAATGAAAGTGCTGCTCTGGGTTACAACTCAACAAGGAATGTGGAGGTTGTAAGACATACCACCCCACCCCTTTTCCAGTCCAACCTCGGAGGACTACACCACTATGGTAGTACACAAATAAAACTGGGAAAGATAAAACTCAATTCTGTTTGCTGATTAAAAACAGGTGAAGTCCACCTAGCACCAAAGGTCACATTACTATTCTTCCTAATGTCTGCGCCTCTCCCTGCTCCTTCATCCAGCCAGTCTTTCCCTCAGCAGCCATAATGAGCAGGGCGACAGCTCCATGTGACGCCGTCATCATAATGCATCAAAGCTGCATCTCTGATTATTTAAAGGTAATAATAGTGCTGCTCTCGCACACCATCCATAAAAGCTGCACAATCTGAGAAGGTGTGATTCAATCTGAGGGTGCGTAAGTGAATGTGTGTGTATGTGAGATTAAGAAACTGTGTGTGTGTGTGTGTGGTGGGGGTCTTCGATTACGGTACATCTATGAATGTTTGCGTGTTTTCTTGTGTGTGTTTGTGTGGCAACACCGTTCCATCTGATAAAAACCACGGCTGCAGCAGCTTCACACCCTTGTCTGTAGGACACAGCCATTTATTACCGGATTAGAGCCATTTACTGCAGGCTTTATGGGAGCTTCAGCAGGCCCTCAAGGACATTACAGCTGGGGAGAGGAGTGGGGGGGGGGGGGGGGGGTCATGAGGAGGAAAACCCCTCAGAATAAGCCAATAATAATAATAACTACAGAAACTGCATTTTCTGTGAAAATACAGTGTGAATGCTTATTGCAAAAAAAAAAAAAAACAGCTGAAAAGAGCTTCAACATGCTGAAATGTAGCTGAAATGTAAGAACAAGCCTAAGTTAGCAGAAGAAAACAAAAACAACACACATTTGCTGAATTATGTTTAAATGAGCACAGAAATTAGCTAAAAATGCTGAAATTAGCAAAAGGCAGAAAGAAGCTTAAACTATCAGAAGGAAGTGGAAGGAACTGAAATGAGCTAAAAAAAATGTAGAATTTGCTAAAAAAAAATTTTGTACAAAACAGCTAAAAAGTAGCTGAAATTGCAGAAAAAGTTGAAACTAGACGAAAAAAGCTGAAAGGAGCATAACAAGTTGAAGTTAGCAGAAATAAGTTAATTAGACTGGCAGAAACAAAAATGAGCACAAAAATGTAAATTTTCTGAAAAAAAAAAAAATGTAGAAAATAGCAAAACAAAAAAGAAAAAAGAAAAAGCTGAAAAGCAGCTAAAAAAATCAGAAAGAAGCCTAAATCACAAGAAGGAAGTGGAGAGAGAACATTTTTGCTCAATTTGTCTGAAAAAAGTTTAAATTAGTGCATAAAATGTGAAATGAGCTGAAAAAGCTAAAATGACCATAAAACAGCTAAATACCGCTACTAGCAGAAATAAGCCGAAAGGATCATAAAAAGCTGAAATTAGCAGAAAGAAGTGCAAAAATGTAGTTAGAAGGAAGAATCTGAAACAAACACAAAACAGCTGACAAAAACGCCAACTGAAATTAGCTGAAAATAGCTGAAAAATAGTTTAAATTTGTACAAAGAAGCTGAACCAGAACAAAATGTGAAAATAGCAGTAAAAGGTTGTAAACAGTTCTAAATATTTTAAAGATGTAAAATTCATGTTCTGCGAAAAAAATGTGGCAGAAAAGGCTAAAAATGTCAAAAAGCTAAAGTTGCACCAATACCAAATGTCATAGCAGGATTGTCCTGAAAGAACTGAAACTTTGGATTTGTTGAAATAGTTTGAAAACCGCGGGACGAAAATCGTGCCCTAAAACGTTCAGAAGAAAAATGGATCACAATAGTGTGAATGCTTCATAAACATACACACAATAAAAGATGGCAGATTTAATTCCCAAACACACAGAGAGTAATTTCAGGCGAAATCTTTTGAACATCTGCAACATCTGAGAACCCAGCACAGTCCGAGAAACATTTATGAGTTTGGATCCACCAGTTTGTGTTTTTGGTGCAAAATTCTTTTTGTATTTCTCTTGTTTATGAGCACGAAAAAGTTGCTCCTATATTTAAGTGCAAGCGATAACAAAATTCAGAGACTAAAATCGTCAAAGAAGAGTTAGTTTGTGTTTCCATATGTCTGTTTAGAGTCCATGTAAGGAGAACATCTGCATCAGTTCAAAGATCAACACAAACCCTCTTTGAGGAAATGTGGTGCTTTTTTCATATGAACACATTTATTATTCATAATAGAAACGGCATAAGAAAATGCTTTTGTGTGTAGTTTTTCTTTGTGTTACCCGGCCAACATTTTATTGGTGTTTTCCTTTTCTAATTCTGATTTTTAATCCAGTCACATTACCGTACGAACTTTAAAATTAAATGTTTTTCTCTACGATTTTTTTTAAAGGTAATGCAAAAATCGTGAAATAGTGATTCTCTTTTACTTATACGAGTCATATCTCCCATAGATATACCAAGTCAGCTTCCTCGTGTTAAAAAATAAATAATTCTGTGAACGTGTGCGAAAACAGCAGTTAGATTTTATGAATACTGACTGCAGTAGGAAATACTGATAATTAGGGCTCTTCTATATAATACAGTAGAAGATGATAGCAGTGTAGAGATAAAATGTGTAATCTCACCATTTCAATAAACTACACGTTCCTGAGCGCACACACCACATGAAGACTGGTACACATCAATTACACGCTGACATGCTGAATTTAAAGAAGGCCTTTGGTTTGAATCTCAGCTGAGGCCTTTCTGGGTGCAGTTTGCAGGTAGCTTTCTCCGGGTACTCCACTTTCCTCCCCAAGTTCAAAAACAATCATGGTAGGTTAATTGGTGATTCTGACCCTGTTTACATGTAATAATTTCCTGGAAACATATTAGATTTTCCGATGTTGATTGTAAAAATGTTACACGTTTACACAGTAATGCTACTAGCGAGAATCTTGTTAGCACTTAGCTAGTACGTTGCAGGATTTTGTGACTGGCTGCTTAAAGTAACTAGCTAGTAACCTGGTACTTGCTAGCCAATACTAACTAGAGAAATTGCATTTCCTGTGAAAATGCATTGTGAATGCTTACTGCAGAAGAATTTGCTGAAAAACAGCTGAAGTTATCTAAAAACATACTGAAATGTAGCTGAAATTAAAAACTAAACCTACTTTAGCAGAAGAAAGCAGAAAGAACACATATTTGCTGAATTACGTTTAAATAAGCAGAAATGAGCACAAAAATTAGGAAATTAGTTTAAAAGAAAAGAAGCTGAAATTAACAACAAAACAGCTGAAAAGAAGCTGAAAAATCAGAAAGGGTCTTAAACTACCAGAAGGAAACGAAATGAAATGAAATGAGCTAAAAGGGGGTAAAAAAAAGTTGACTTAGGTGAAAATGCTAAAAATTAGAATAAAAATGGCAAAAAAATTGAATTTATATGAAAATAGCTGAAATTAGCTAAAAAAATGCTAAAAAAAACCAAAAACTATCTGAAAATGTAGAACAAGCTTAAATTGGCAAAAGAAAGAAGAAAGAACAGCCAAATTAGGTTGAAAGAAGCAGAAATGAGCCCTTAAAAATGGAAATTGTCTGAAAAAAAAAAACAACTTCTGAAAAGTAGCTAAAAAGGCAGAAAGATGCTTAAATTAACAGAAGGAAGTGGAGCAAGCCCATTTTTTTTATGAAATGGCTCAAAAAAAGTTTCAATTAATGCAAAAACAATGTGGAATTAGCTGAAAATGTTAAATTTAGCATAAAAGCAGCTAAATATTAGCTGAAAAGAACAAAGTCCATGCTCAATAATCTAAGCTGTTGGGGGAAGAATCAGTTTTGTTGTGTGTTTCCTTGACTGATGAAGCCTTCCGGACCGAAGGCGAAACGTTTCAGCACAAAAAAAGAAACTGTCCAGATGACCTGACTGAAAAATGTTGGATAATATACCTGGATTATTGAGCATGGACTTTGTTGTTTTCAACCAATTTGACAAGACTGTCAACAAGGAAGAGGGCCGACAATGGAGGAGGGGCGTACCAAAGAGACCATCTTATCACAAGCAGAACTGGTTTGTTCCACTTTGGAGTAAGCTGTTGGGGGAAGAATCAGTTTTGTTGTGTGTTTCCTTGACTGATGAAGCCTTCCGGACCAAAGGTGAAACGTTTCAGCACAAAAAAAGAAACTGTCCAGATGACCTGACTGAAAAATGTTGGATTAGCTGAAAAGGCAGAAAAAGCTGAAACTTGCAGAAACAAGCTGAAACGAGCAGAAATAGGTTAGAAGAAGCACAAAAATGTTGTAGTTAGCAGAATAAAGCAGATTGGAGCACAAAACAGCTGAAAAGGCAGCTGAAATTAGCCAGGGGGGAAAAAAAAAATTAAATTTACACAAGGAAGCTGAAATTAGCTGAACACGAACAAAATGTGAAAGGAGCAGTACAAGTTTGATTTAAAGATTTGAAGGATGTAAAATGAGCTTAATTAATTTTCTATGAGGAAAAAAATGGTAGAAAAGGCTAAATATTTCAAAAAAGCTAAAGCTGCACCAAAACCAAAAGTCATAGTAAGATTGCCCTGAAAGAGCTGAACGTTTTGATAAATGATTTGTTGAAATAGCTTAAAAACTGAGGGATGAGAATCGTGCCGAAAAACATACGGAAGAAAAATAGATCACAATACTGTGAATGCTATCCATTTATTAGAAGGAAGGGTATGGGTGTTGCCAGATATACTAAAATTATTGTATACGTACAATAATTTTAGGGTAGATACAATATGGGATAAAAAGTTTTGTTTTTTAAAGCCCAAATACATACCGGTAATAGTTTTGGTATTTCTGTTCACCAAAAAAATAACTTTTATTCATGTGAACTCCAAGTTATTATCAGAAAATCTAATGAAACTTGAAATGACAACAAACCCC